CTGGCATGCTGGAAACACTCTTCAACCAACCATGGCGTTCTGGAAAGGGAGAGCGCCAGTACTGAACAGTTCATTGCTGGCGTGGCATGTAAGTAGTAGCACAAGGTGTGCCCTAGCTATGTCATCCGCATAGAATTGCAGTCTGCAGTCTTGCGGTCCAACGATGAAGCTGACCAACTCTAAAAAAAGGGGGGAAGGAGGGAGGGAAAAGAGCCAAGCTTGCAATTATGCACCACGATCACCCGCTGTTATTAGCCTGTACATGTGCCGGTTTTTTGGTCCCAGCTGGATCAAAGGAAACAGAAGGCATTAGATAAAAATAGGTCGAGACATAACGGTGTAGAAATGCATGCATCCTACCTGACACATCGCCGCATTCCAACGCATAACTTATCTTATCTACCCCATACTATCTACAGGAAGCTAGAGTTCTACAACAGGTACTCTGTAGAAACGCAATGTAAAACAGCCTTCTAGGCCTCGTTCTTATTACTATTTTTTTTATTTCCCTCTCACGTTAAATGATAATACAAGCATAATATAAGTATCGTGCGAGCACAACATCTGGTAACACAGTATTAGGCCATATTAAGCTAAGAACAGTAAAAGACCAGAAAAATAAAATATTTACGTATCGTGACGCGTCAAACACACTCGCGTAATTGGTGCTGTATTGCGGCCCGCTAGCTAAAGTCATCTCGCGATAACCTTAGCCACCGTTATCATAGAAGCGAATTGATGCCGGTGACTCACGCCGAGAACCCAAAATAGCCACAAACGCAGTATATCAGCGAGGTCTGCCCTCGTCCGTATTCTAAGTTGACCCCGTTCCTCTCCATCTTAGTTATTTTTCTGCTATGAAGACCCAACACAGACAGCCATTCGTGAGTCCCTGCCTCCACACAAATCTCCTATAAGCACTTACTAACATCGCCCACAGTTATTAAATCTCACTACCATATAAAAATAATATGACTAAAGGTGGCAAGATAAGTTGCCTGTTATAAGCTTTAGGGGTTAAAGCTAACAAGGCCAAGGGGGCAAAAACAACACTATAACCAATAATGATTTAGGAGCCCTTTATAGTAAAAGGGACGCCGACCTCGAGGCAAAAAATCCCGATTCCATCCCCTTTACTACAAAGGGCTTTACAATTGTCATTGGTTATGGTGTTGTTTTTGCCCTTGGCCTTATCAGCTTTAACCCCTGAAGCCTACAACAGGTAACTTACTTGTATTGGGCTTCTTGCCACCTTTGGTCATGTTGTTTTTGTATGGCAGTAAGATTTGATAGCTGTGGGCGATGTCAGTAAGTGAGTGGTTATTATACCAGTGGGAGATTTGTGTGGAGGCAGGGACTCACGAATGGCTGTCTGTGTTGGGTCTTCATAGCAGAAGAGGCAGATGACTTGGATGGAGAGGAACGGGGTCGACTTGGAATGCGGACGAGCGCTGATATACTGCGTGTGTGGCCATTTTGGGTTCTCGTTCTTATTACCGTGGTACTCGGCGTGATGCTGCTGAACCCTTATTGTCCCATTTCTGGCGTCACGACCGCCGACCCCGAAGGCAAGCAAGGCAAGGCAGAGAGTACGTAGTAGTAGCACGGAGTACAGAGCAAAGGGATAGAATCCTCGGCACACAGCTTGATAGGTCCATGAAGCATTCTAAGCGGCAACAGCCGCATACATTCCAAGAAGAATCTGGAGTCATCGGAATCAAATTTCCCTTCCGGGCGAGATGGCGGGGCAAATTGAGAAGAGCGGCGACGGCGCTAAACCATGAGCGGAGTCGTCTGTAGCCAGTGGGCCAATAAGAGCGAGGCAAAACAGCCAACTGTTCCCCTTGCTTGGCGTCAATTTCAACGCGGGTTGTACTCTATGCATAGACATGCCAGCTTTACAGAGGAGACGTGAGACGGGGCACGACAGAATGTGAGTATGATGATCGAAAGGGGAGAAAACGGTGGACTGCGGAAGAAGCAATCAAGCCTGAAAAATAGAGAGGAGCATGTGAGATCTATGGAGTAGTACTCCGTACGATACTGCGGAGTATGTACTACTTCGTTCAAACGGCAGAGCAGTCGAGCTTGGCATCTGTCTTTGGTGGTGCTTGAGCTCCACCCGCGCGCCCGGCGCACCTGCAGAATGAAGGAGGAGTGAACGAGCTTGGGCTACTCCTGCCACTTCTGCTCTCCATTGGTCCATTTGTTCCATTTGGTGGGAGCTAAAAGGTCAAGAGGCAAAGAGGGCCGACAGCAAAGAGATGACAGCTGGAGACGATGGGCGGTGGGCATGCTAATTTGCCCGGCATTCTAAGGCCCAGATGCCAGTTGGTCCTAGTGCGGCTACTTGTCTGGTATTTCTGCCCCCAGCCCGAGCCAGCTTCAAGCACACATAGGAGACCAGTCCACTGGCTGCCCACCAGCGACGTGCCGCCCACTGGTTGCTGGCCACTGCCCGCTGCTGCAGCACTCACCCCCCCACCGGTGCCAGTTTCTGCTTCAAGTCCTGCCTGGTCACTTCTTCTTCTTCTCCTCCCCCATTCCCTTCATCTCCCCTCCGCGCCTCTGTCAATTTATTGCTCGCGATCCGCCAGGGCCTGAACGATCGGTAAGTGGCCTATTTCCATTCATTCACATTGCAATTGCACAGCTTTGAGAGATTTTTCTTCGCATTCGACGGGCACACGTGTTTTTTCCCAAGCAACTTTCCGCGGACGAATAAGGGGGGCCGGAAACTAGGCGTGGGCAATTTGAGCTTCGACTCTCTGTTCTGCTCGCCAACTTGGGGGAATCGGACAACAACAATACCATCACCCATCCACGATTTCATGTCCTTGCATCCTAGCACCACTTGCACGGCACAGTACTACCCAGCCAACGTTGTCGCTGCGCCTTGTCGCCGTCGAGTGCGGCACATCTCGGTTGTTTTTGCCTTGGCCATTGCTCGCAGCCTGGTCTTTGTTCAGTCATTCAGTGTCGTGTCGTCTTGTCACCAAGCAAGCCCTAGCCTCAATCCATAACCGACAATTCAAGCATCTGAGGAAGAGTCGTACTTTGAGTGGCTGACTGATCGCTGTACGATACGTCTCACTAACGCCTGGCTGCATCGAATTTAGTTTTGTCCGCGCCTCGGTCGATATCTTCGCGCTTGGCTTGTTTTGTCTGCCGCGTCCGCCGCCCGCTAGATTTGCGTCCTCAGGAATACGCAGACTTCGTCCTCGGCACCTCGTATCTAATTGACGCTCGACTTGGATTTAAGTTCGCGTCGGTCCTTTCCTTCCGCCATCAAGATGCCTCAGTACACCTCGCGAGATGTCGGCGACCCGTCGCAGATCAAAAAGACGAAACAGTCCATGGCAGACCTAAAACTGAGACGGTTAACAGAGCTCAACAACCGCCTGCGAGAGGACTTGGAGCGCGAGCGTATTCCGATCAGCACAGCTGCCAAGAGGTGAGAAAATACCCTGATGAACAAGGCGACCAATACATGCAGGTGACTTGGTCTGCACGACCACACTCTTGGGGTGGCAATAGAAACTGACACTACCTGCGTTCTGCAAACAGCATCATTGCTTACTGCAATGGAACAAGGGATTACATGGTCCCATCCGTATGGGGTTCGGTTCCTAAGGGCGAGGATCCCTACGCACCACAACAATCTGGCGGCTGCTGTGTCGTCATGTAAATCAGTGTTTCTCGTCGATTTTCTCGCGGTAGACGACAAAAATTTACCAGCCAACGACCTGCTACGATGGGTATTTGTTCTTGTTTATTATCAATGGCTGGGAGGTGCGGCATGCACCGGCGCCGGCCGCAGCAGCGATCAGTCCCCTAACGTGTTCTATATCTTAATCCGCAACGGTGCGCTTGGAGGCGAAGGGTGAGGAGAATTTTCGGACGGGTGGGTGGGAAAGACGGATACGGCGTACCAAATTACACAATTTTCACACAAACATACTCGTCATGATCCTTGGCTGGGACCATGGATAGAGAGCCCTCTCGAAGCTTTTGTGCCGAGTTAGCACAGAGGCAGCATACCCTCGAGCGGCAAATGAAGAGCAAAACAACAAGGAAAAAGAGAAGAGCAAGGCGACGCATATACTTGGAATTCTGTTTATTCCATCGACCCATTGACTGTGCACCAATATAAAGAACCCCAGGAAGACTAGAAGCAAAACATTTCATGGTCTTGCCTCATCCGTGCGTGGGGGTACAGACGCAGCCATATGAGGGCAAGAAGAGGCAAACAGGGGCCTGGGAGTACCGGCTCTTCAGCATGTATTAATTCCCTTTTTTTTTCCTACTGGTTTTTTTTTTCTTTGTGTCCGTTATGTCTGCGTATCTATTCATGTTTGGTACACAATCAAGTTCAATAAATGTTCAAGTACAAGTGACGATGCTTAAGATTCGAAACTGGGTTCGCCGCTATTTGTCGTGAAAGCATATCTCTCTCACATGTTCCTAACTTTCAAGTCCCAATACGCCACAAATGAATCGAATCAACTCTTGGCAAAGCGACGTGTAGCTTGTTACCTTGGCAAGCCTGTTCCTTATTCAAAGCTCAGCAGCAAGGTTCTAAGTCCAGGCCACCCAGAACCGATCTCCGAATAGCCGGCCTATGCTTCCGTAGCACCAAATCCAAGTCTGATCTGAGCCACAAAGCATGACCTCTGCTAGGCTGACAAATCTTCGGCATTGAGCTCTGGTCGTTCTGCCTGTCTGGTACTCCGTATAACGACGACATCCGTGGAAACAGTGGAGCGGCTAATTCGAAGTGGATTCAAATGTTAATCTGGATGCGCCCGCAGACGACACCCGCTCGATACAATAACGTTACTTACACCGCGTTCACATCCACCACTGAACCATTCGAATTCGTCGCCCTCGCGCGCCAGGATCTTTTCTAGTGATCCAGGCTAACGCAGCATCGGGGAGCACACACTCGGCACCGGAGCAGTCCATTCCCATCACACAAGCCAAAAGAAAAAAGAAAGAAAATGGCCGAGCCGACCAGCGCGCCTGCACACGCAGACTACGAAACTCGGTTCCCGCGAGTAACTATCCAGTTCTGCACACAATGCAAATGGATGCTCCGGGCAGCCTACGTACGTCTCTTGTTCCCCCCTGCGTTGCACACGCGCCCCTCGTTCCACGTCCACGTCTCTTCACCGGTGCCGGCGCGCCTCGCACGTTGGTTGTGAAAACGCCGTCTTGCGAAACAGAGCAACGAGACTAATTTTCAAGAACCAGTTCGCCCAAGAGCTCCTGTCCACGTTCTCCACATCCCTGGGCGAGGTGTCGCTGCAGCCCTCGACGGGGGGCACCTTCGTCGTGACCATCCACCACCAGCCGCGGGACCAGGCGCCCCGGGCTGTGAGCACCGTGCTCTGGGACAGGAAGACGGACGGCGGGTTCCCCGAGACCAAGGAACTCAAGCGGCGGGTGAGGGATGTCATCGAGCCGGGGCGGGACCTGGGACACGTCGACCGGCATCGTTCCGCTCACGCTGCGAGCAAGACGGCCGGTGAATCGTCTGGGGGCGCAGACGGAGCGGGTGGCCCTGCTGCTGCTGCTGCTGCTTCCGGGGCGGCCATGACGGACACGCCTTGTGAGGATTGCAAGTAGGCCGCGGGGATGGCTTCGCGGAACGGCCTTCCAACGACGTTGTCACGTTCTATCTTGCGCGTATACGTCAAGCCAGACAGACTAGTCGACGACGAAGAGCGTGGGCGGGGAGGGGCGGCGTGGGCATGAGACAATGCCCAACGACAATCAATGGGTTGGTGTGACTCGAGTCCGGGTTCTCGTCAAGCTCTTCCGCGGCCTGGCAGCTGCTAGATATTACATCGTGGAGGCATCCTTGAAAATGGCAACCTTGACAAGAAGCCAAGTTGATTTATTGTGCACCCAGCCTGACTACTTGGGTACCTAGGATGGAGGACTCTGTTCAAAACCCATCCGGTGGTCAACACCGAACTGGCTAGCCGAGCCACGGACAAGCAGCGAATACTCCGAGTATTGTATGCTTTAGTCGTACTTTACTTTTTGCCACCCTCTCCTACTTGTATTATGTGGGTGAATCATAGCACCGTGATACGTCGTCATTCCGAGGCCCGCTGTGTAGCAACACCGACGGAGGTAGGGTTCGGGGCTCGGCGATCGACTGCCCCTTGTCCGAAAACAAACCGACGTCACATTTGGACACGACGTCATGTATGTCAAATTTGTATATTGTATAATGAGCTAGAAGAAACAGCCATTCGTCGTGATCAAGTTCGCATTGAGCATTAGAGACGATTCGGGCTGCCCGAATAGATTTTTCGTTCTGCCATTCCGCCGAACCCCCCGGCAGGCGTCCTCCCAACGTATACACACGGCCAAAGGAAAAAGGGAAAAAAAAATACATATATAAGCCAGGAGAACACTTCCACAGAAAAGGTGCGGCAAATAGTTTCCCGTACAACCCGAGGCAACCAACCCAGCATGCTCGCGGCCGCGAACACCAGCGACGGCGCGAGTCGCAAATTACGAGCTGCATGTGCAACACGCATTCACGTGGAGAGATGTAGAGATCGAGATTCGACAGAGAGAGAGCGGTGGGGGTCAAAAACAAGTCGGATGCGGTGAGACAAAAATCGGGGCTTTATAGTGGCACGTCGGCGGATGTTAGATCAAATCGGTGTCGTGGGCAAGTCATCCGTCGATGTAGGTGGTACAATTCAAGTCTTAGCGTCGTCCGAACCTAGAAGAGAGCAATCATGTTCGTATAAACTCGTTCATTTCTTTTGTTTCACTATTTGGACTTGTATTTGGGAGTGACTGGTTTGCTTCCGCTCCCAAGACCACCGTAAACGTACTTTTGTTTCTTCTCAGCTGGCTTGAGGATCTACAATTGTTTGGTTAGTGTGTCGCCGTTGCAACCCATTGTGAGCAAAGGTATAGGACTAACCTGGAACGAGCAGAGCAAACTCTCGTCGACGCTCATCATGGCTCCGGCGTTATCAAACTCTCCGCAGTAGTTGGGCGCGCTGAACAAAGTTACCAGCTGGCGCTTGGAGAAGAACTCGTAGCCGTCTTCGACAACCTGGTGGGCACGACAAATGAGGTCCATGTCGTGCTTTTGCAGGAACCGAGAGACAACATCAGGTCCAAAGGTGAAGGAAACACCTCGGTCGTTCTCACTCCAGCCAGTAATGTCCTTGTCAGGATCCGACCAGAGCAGATCGCAAAGTAAGCCACAGTCAGGAATCTAGACAGGTTAGCACCATGTCCAGACTAATAATAACCCAGAGATAACAGCTAGATGCTGGGTACAAGGAGGGATGGGGATGGGGATGGGGTAATGGCGTACATCCGTTGGTCGCATGACACGTCTTATCTGCTCCATTGAGTTCAGGTCGGGGCTGAGACCGCCGTGCATAGTGAAAATCTTCTCATCAATAATAGCGGCAATGGGAAGGCAGTTGAAACAATCGGTGAAAGTTTTCCACAACTTAATATTGTAGCGGCGCTTGCACTCATCGTAGAAACCGTAGATGCGGTTGATGGAGGCACACTCGTGGTTACCTCGCAAGATGAAAAAGTTCTCTGGGTACTTGATTTTGTAGGCGAGCAAGAGGCAGATTGTCTCGAGAGACTGCTTGCCTCTGTCTACGTAGTCACCCAAGAAGAGGTAATTGGCCTCGGGAGGAAAACCACCGTACTCAAAGAGTCGGAGCAAGTCATAATATTGGCCATGAATATCGCCACAAATCTGCCAGTGTCAGTCAGCAATGGCATAGGGGTACAAAGGGCAGTGCCAGGCAATATACCTTGATGGGGGCCTCCAGCTCGAGCAGGATGGGCTGGGAGATGAAGATCTCGCGAGCTTTGGTACACAGGTATCGAATCTCGGCTTCGAGCAGCTGGACCTGCTTTCCTGGGCGGCTGCCACGCACCTCGAGCAGGCGGTCGATTATGGAATCGAGGTCGACCTCGTGTTGGTCAGCCATACTAGAGAGATCCCTTTGGCGAGGGATTGCCCGCGGGTACCGGAGAGGTGGGCGGCGTTGGCGCGTGAAAAACGAATCACTAGATGCAAGCCGATGCGCAGGAGGTGGCGGCTGAGGGGGGGACGTGCGATCAAGGCTGGTGGAGTGCTGATATTACGATGCACTTCAAGATCTGGACGTCAGCAGTTAGTAAACCAGCCATCAGGTAGCGGTGCGCGTGTCAAGAATCACGACGGCGGCAGTGTGTCGATGCTCTCAGAAAGACGGCGATGAGGGAGAGGAAAGCGAAAAATAGAGTGCACGACATTTCGGTCGCAAAATTTCTCGGGTACGTGATGGACGAGAGCACATCCAATGCGGAGGACGAGATATCACCCACGGATGGCGTAGTCGGACGGCGAATGGTGGGAGGAGAGCAGAGACGCCAACAAGAAAAAACAGCACCAAGGAGCAACTTACCGAGAAGTGATCACAGCTCGGGGTAGAGGAGCCTCGTAGGCGGCGGAGCGAGCGGAATGGATATATCTCCGATGGAAAAAATGTATATAGCTAACGGGACGCAGTCGATGAGATCAATCTCAATACGGGCAAACAGACACGGTCGCAAGGTCTGTATCGTCGTCGAGGGGTGTTGCCTTGAAGGGCGGTCGTCGGCAGGAATAGCTTCAGGGGATGGGCTGAAGCAGTCGTCGTCGGCTGGGGAAACAGGGGCCAAAAGGCGTAATGGTCGTTTGGATGGGCTCACTAGTAGCCAAGTCGCGTTGCTTCCGTCACGGGAAGGTCGTCGTCGTCCAGTGTCGCCGTTGGGCAGTTCGTCGTGGATGAGAAAATCGCTTTTCGGCGCAGTTGAAGGGGGAAGCAGCCAGCAGCCGTCGGGATGTTTTTTTTTTCTCGGTTGAGGAGGGGAGGGGGAGCAGCCAAGCAGCCAAGCAGCCAAGCCCGTACGTACTTACGTATGTACTCATGTACTATCGGTAGCAGCCAACAACAGCACGCGCCAGGCCGGCGGCGGAGGGGATTGGGGGGTCAATTGGCGCTCAAGTGCTCAATGGCACTGGGCTCGGTGTGCTACTGGCGACTTGGTGCATGTACTACTGATCACTGGGGCTTCAACGTTGCGCAGTCAGTCGCCGGATCGCCAGGCTTGGGTGCCTGGTCAGCTCGGCTGGTGGGGTCTGTCTGGAGCGTTAAGTTGCCCGCCTCAAGGATCCCGTGGCCGTCGTTAGGCTCGCACTCTGCCGCCGGCCGGAAGTACACCCTCCGAGGTGGTGGAAATCGCCCGCTTTCGATTCTTAATCCATCAGTTTGTTGCCGGCGGACACAACCGCCTTGTTTTCCTTGCCGTGAGGTGACGCAGCCAGCAAACTGAAGCGAGGACAACTGGACATGTTGGCTGTGGCCGCGCCTCGCGGGCAGCACTTCGGCTGCTCCAGTCAATGCTCAAGGGCGCCCCCAGTAACATTGAATGCGTCTGGGGGGCCTGGATGGGGCCTCGCTGCAGCTTCCTAGTGGCTACGCGGCGTACCATGCAGACAGACACCGGTTGACCTGGACGAATGCCGGGCGTCCGTCAATGCCAGCTTTGCCCTGTGCTGCACAGCTCTGGCGTCCCCAAGTCATAGTCTGGTGTCAATCGGCCATGGAGCGGTGCGGTGGCGCAGCCTGTGCCTGTAACGTCGACCTGCCCAGGTACCGCGTACCAAGTACCTGGGTACATCTGTTCGCTCAAATACCTAAAGTAGCATTGAACGCGCCGGCTGTTTTTGCAACTGCCCAAGCGTGATGTCGTTCTAGAGCTCACGGGCGCTTACGAACGCTGTGAGCTGTCAGACGCCAGATATCTCACACATGTCTTTGATCTGTTGGGGGTTTGGCGCTCCCGATTTCCATCGCATCCCCACACGGGCACTTGATTGGTGGTGGCACGGAGAACAGAGCTCCAGACACTTAAAATATGGAGTAGTATGCAGTGCGAGGTCGTCGAGTGTTTGCCTTTGCTGCTTTCCTTGGCACCTCCAAGGTCCAACCAAGTTATGCCCCCGGCCATCGTTGCAAAAGCACTCTCGGCCCCTCTGCCGTCTACAACACTCATCACGCCCGAGGCAATGAAGCAAAGACCAAGGTGAGGCTGATGGCCGGGTGCGATGGCCTGGTATCAGTCAATGCGTGGTGGAACAGCTTTTCTGACTTTTTTGCCCCTCGGTCCCCTCTTTGCCATCCCAGGCCAGGTCGCTCCTTCCGCGCCACAGGTCCTAGTGCCCAGAACTGCAGGCCCAGTGTCCATTTCGGCTTCCATGTCCTCCTCACCATCCAAGATGCTGTAAAGTCTGTTGTTAGCCACTCGACTGTCTGCTCATCGATCCCATCCAGATCCGCCAAACGAATCGCGAACTAAGATGCGTCCATATGTCCCATGCTACACTGTGCCAGCTCTCGGCACTCAGGGACAGCGGCCGACGCGCAATCTTCTCACGTGCGTAGTCGATACTCCGGCTTCAACCGCGGAAGGCTGGCCAGGAGACATCACACCACTCCTTCAGTGCTGCGCGGCTTCGAGCTCCAGGCCGCAACAAGAATGTTCGGACGATCCGGAGGAGACGCTCTGTTGCCTTGGAGCCATGACTCCACATACAGTGCCCAAGGAGTTCTATGAAACCCCAACTTGTGGCCTACTTCTTTCTCCCATTCCAAATGTTGAAGACACAGCCTACCAGTTGCTCACAACCAGAGTAAAAGGAAACTCGGCACGGAGTACGACGCCAACCTTATTCGAGAGGACGCCTAATTCCCACTTTTCGCTGACGCCGGCCCGTCTGTGCTCCTGTGCCTATCATCACTCTAATTAATTATGGCGCTTCGAAAACTCTGTTATGCCATACTACTCCTCACCTAGTGGATGGCCCGGGACTGCATAAGGAGTATACACGAAGGCGTTGGGGTATGAGGCAATGGGTGGCTTTGTGGCTTCGACGGAACGGACGACTTTCGCCCTCTCAGCACCTTCAACGACGTTGATAAACCGCTGTGCTGCATTTAGCACAAACGAAGTCGGAATGTAAAACGCGTCATGTTGCAGGCGTTTGTATGCACATCCAACATAGACAGCTCGAACGAGCAGCGTCTCTCGTCACCATGATTGGTAAGTTACATACCAGGCACTTGAGAGAACCAACACAGCAAATGCAGAGGAACAAAAGTACCAATCATTTGAGCCACTGCATCCGCCGGCTTCTAGACACAAAACCAATGCCTGCCATGCTCTCCCTCACTTTCGTCCCTGACATTCATTGTGACAGCCGTGGCCGCAGACGACCGACCACACCCGCACCAAAAACCAGGCACAACCCGGTTTTGCGCTGGATTCCACACATACAACGTTTCTCTTTTCCCAACACATTTGCGGTTTACGGTCTAGTCAAAACGTGAATAGCCCGACTACGGATATGAAATGTTCCCAGCCTCCATATGATGTGCGGTTGTGCAGTAGTCGGGAAATCACCTACCCCTTACAGGTTCGGCATTCGTCTGAACACTTTAGTACATGGTTCTTTCTTTTCGCTGCTGCAGGAGCTGACAACAGACAGACAGGCATAACAGTAATCAGTGCAGTGAATAATTGGCTACACTAGCCGCGTACCATTTCCACCCATTTCTTCTTATGCAGGTATTCTCAGGATGAACGAATGCGTCTCATTGTACAGGATCCTACTCCCACCGACCTCCCTATCTTTGCCCGCGGCCCCTGTTTCTGAGGACAGCTAAAGATTGTCATGTGCTAGCGGAAAATTCTGATGTGCTGTCTTGTAATAGCTGATGAGGCAGATGGCAGTTACCAAAACCCCTTGGTACTCTTAGGTACCTCAAGTAGGAAGACATCAAATGTCTGATTAGAACACTCTCCCAAACGAAGCAAACAAATCTCGCAAAGTAGCGCTTTACAAAGTACAGCGTGAGACCAAAAAAACGTTCTCAATTGCTAGCACGTCATGTAGTCATGCATGCTCTAGACATTGCAAAACGGCGTGTGCACGGAAACAATAGGCGACATGATTGCAGAAGCTGCAATCTATCACGATAGTGAATGCCTTGCCCGCAAATACTCCTCCATGTCCCCTCCGCATTTGGAACGTGGCCCGACGTATACATGCATCATCATGATGTGAATGCCCGCAAAACCTGCTCGGCCTGGACAAAGTTGGAGCTACTCGCGAGAGGAAGTCATGCGCTGTTAATACTCGGCTGCGCCAAACAAAGAGAAAAGAAGAAGAGGAAAACAGGCACAGGATGTAAACTGGGGGCCGCGTAGCTGAAGAGACCGCAGACTGCGTATTCTGACCAACAGTCCCTCGTATCCAGCAGAGTGTTGTTGAGCGAATTCTGCACGGAAGAATACGCCATCGCAGTAGTCTAGTCCCGGGACAGAGTAAAGCATTACATCTAATATTACCAAGAACAAGACCTCCCTATTATCACAAGCCAGGTGCTTACACGTACAGAAAGTCTCTCAACAATGGTATATAGCACCTCCAATCCAATCAACTACCTACCCTACAAGCCAATGTCGCATTCAATACTGACAATATAGACAAGATCCAAGAGATATTAAAAGCAAAGAGTCCCGCCAAGGAGTCCATGCCGTTTACCAACGAGTTTACCAGACGAGCAAGATAAGCCGCGAGAGACGGACCTTGAACCGCAAATGAGTGCATGACAGATACAAATGCCCTCGCACTATTCATTCAAACACACACCATTCATTCGCATGCCTAGCTTCCTATCTATACATGACGTCTTTACATGCGGGATCGAGCCCCAAGACGCCCACAACAAAACAACGTTGTGATGCCCCTCCCAAACGCCGGAACCAAAAAAGCCACAAGTCCCAGCCCAATCCACCTCGTTAGCATACAACCAAAACCAGGTAATAATACACCTACCTTCGCCGCCCAGAAGCTCTCTTCTTCCTACTTCTCCCCTTGACCTTGCCGCCATCTCCCGCATCGTCATTGACCAACCCCGCCGCAACCGACTCATCAACTTCCGCGCGGAGCCCCTTAAGCTCCTCGTCGTCAAGATCAGTCAGTTCCTCGCTCAGCATACGCACCGCATCCCTCCCCGCAGCCCAGTGCTCGCCGAGGATGGATGTCCCCCGGGGCTGCATCGCCTTGAAGTACCACAGGACGCCGCCCTCCGTCAACGGATCTGATGGCTCTTTGCCAAAACTGCCGTTTGAGTGGGGGGGTGTTGGTGGTCCTGGGACGCCTGTTGTCGACGCAGTTGGCGCGGCCAGGTTGACGTAGGCCTCTGATTCCGGTGGCGTTTCTGACGGTTGGAGGCTGTTGTTGCTTTTGGTGCGTCTGCTCTTGCGCGAAGAAACAGGGGGTTCTTCAGACTTGACAGTGATGCCCAGGCCAGAGGTGTTGACTTCTATGTTTCCACCATTCTGGCCTTCAGCGTCTTCCGCTGTATCCATTGGGTCGCCCTCGGCATCAACATCTTCGTCATTGAAGCCGCTCTTGACTGTGATCTCTGACGAGTCCGGAGCGTCCACCATGATGGTGTCTTCTTCTTGCTTCGTCGTAGCAGATGTGATGGCGACCCGCGAGGTGTCCACGCTGGCGTCTATTAAGTTCTCCAGCTCTTTCTGCACTGTCTCATATGACTTGTTCGAGATTTCAGATTCTACTCGAAGAGCAGTTTCTAGTAGAGGCTGAACAGCTTTGAGGATGCGCTTGCCCAGTTTCCGCCGCTCCCGTATATCCGAGAAGTTCGACTTTGCTGGAGAGGCATCCGTGGCGTCGAACCGCGACTCGCTACTATTGCTTGATGATGACGAGGGAGCATTGAGAATACCCGTGCCGATAACGTCGCCAAGATCTTGCGCAAATGTAAGAGCTGTTACATAGAATCTCTGGTCAACACGAGACCGCAGGTTCTCCAGCCCACTTGTGAACAGGTCTTTATCCAACCTTCATATCAAAAGTTAGTAACAGCAGCTTCTAGCGCCGAGGTGACAAACTTACGATATGGCCTTTTCAATCGCCAGAGGTAAATGTTTAGCCACAGGAAAGTAGCACTCATTCACAAACTCATCCTCCATCTCGGCTGCATCCACCTTCATCTGCTCTCGTTGCACAATCTTCTCCGAAAGGTCCTTCAGTTGTTCAAGATCTTTGAGGATGCTTCCTGCAAACTCGATTCGCCGCGCAAGTCGTGCTTTACCATTTGGACCCATCGTGGAGAAGTCTCGCCTAGTCAGCTCCATGGACGAAAAGGTCTCCATCTGTAGCTGAAGGCGTTTGAGTAATCCCGCACCCCGACGAGCTTCTCGCTTCAGCGTCCAGTAACGGCAAGCCTCACTCAAGAAGTCCTTGCGCTTACGAAAAGGAAATCGTTGAATGGAAGCCTCGACAATGTCAAACACAGCTTGCGGGATAATGGGGGCACCAGAAGGTAGCTTCCACATATTCTTGGGCGGTTGCTCATTCTTCTTCTTTTCTGAAGCAGCCTTTTCCTTGTCACCCTGCGCGCTCTCGGGTGTTTCCGCTAGGAGGTTGCGTTGCTGGGCTGCGATAACATTGGCAATAGCCAAGTTATCAGCCCAAATTCGGCCCCTCATGTTTCTCTTGTAGAACTTCTTTGCCGAACGCGTCGCTTGGTGGACGTTGCTTTCTTGGCTGTATTCCAGCGGACAGTGTTTATCGCAGAAAGCCTTGAGGACCATGCTTCCATCCAAGACTGCAAGAGCGCCGTGGCTAGTTTTCATTTTGAGATATAGGCGTGCTCGTCTCGCGCATGTTACATGGAATGCTTGATAGCAATTCTTATTGGAGCATTGAATGCACGCACCCATCTTCTGTCGACAAATGTAGCAAGATAGCTTCCATCTAGTCTTGGGGACCTTTTCGACGTCCATTACCGGCTCCATGAACGTGTGATTCCCGAGCGAAACCTCGGGAACCCACATGGCGCAGAGCAAATGCGCCCATTTTGAAGAGTTGGTCTGCTTGAAAGCACCATCAGTGTTGGGGCAAAAGATACACGTCTAGGGTCGTTAGCCGAAACTGATCAAACACATGTAGGGCTGTTGAAACTTACGGGAATGCCCCGGCCGCAGAGCTGACATTTGCGGCAGAGCCACTGGCCTTCGGGAATAAAGGGCACGCCGTAGCATTCTTGATGAACGGCAAGATTGCAACCATCGCAAAAGACAATGGCATTTGTGTTTTCACAATCTCCGTCATCACATATAGCACACTTACTATCCGGCTCCTCCCCAGATTGAGTCTCGCCATTCACCGCAGCAGCAGAGCTCGACCTAGGGCGATGCGTCTGCGGTGGCTTGGGATTTGGCTTCGGTATTCTCTTTTCCAAGGCGTGCCACTCCTTCTCAATTTTCGTTATTGTTATTTCAAAGACTTCTCTCGTGATCGTTTCCAGCTCATTCTGCTTTCGCAAGGTATTCAAGTGTTCCAACCACATATCATCTTGTTCATCCATGTCGTATTCCACTTTGCCCAATTTCGTATGATGAGGATGATCCTCGTTGCTATTCACGGGTGTGAGGTCGAGGTCCTCCTCCGCATTTGTGTCAATAGCCTTGATTAATGTTGAATCGGGACGAATGAACTGGTCACTCTCCTGATAGCCGACATTACTCATTGCCTTGTCTACGTATCTTGCCTGACCAAAGGTCTTGCTCTCAAATAGCTCGATGCGATTTGTCCGGCGATATGACGGCAGTTTGAGATCTAGCCTTTCCTTTGGTGTTTGGTTGTGAATAGGTAATATTTTGGGCGTGCGAGGTGTCGGTGCAAGATCCGAAGTTCGAGCATTGTAAAAGCTGACGACTTCGCGCGTCGGCCGACGTGACCGTCTTGACGGAGTCCCAGCTTGAGTGTCTGATGCATTCGCGTCCGGCTTTCCTTGGGGATTCGGCGTAGTACCTGTGGACGCTGCGTTGATTTGTCTTGAGGGAGTCATGGACCCATTTGCCAGCGGCGTTCCTGGCGTTTGCAAAGCGGGTGTACTGGGGGTATCTCGCGCAACACCATCGACCTCGTCTGCTGAGAGGACCATGAAGGTCTTTTCGATATCCAGATTCGGATGAAACTCCTCCCAGCTTCGTTCCTCTCGCGGCTTATAGTCCTCGGCCTGCTTGACCGACGCGGCCACGGCAGCGGCCGAACCCCATCGCATTTCCTCGAGCTCTTCGCTTGCAGAGGCGCGAGACCTGGTACTCCTCTCTCGTCGGGGCATCACAGAAGGTGACTTGCCATTGATGGCGCTTCGCGCTGCGGTTGTCCTCGACCTGGGCGCAGAAGTCGTCACTTGTATCTCCAAGTCATCCGTTTCTACAAATCTACCACCTCCACCAGGCCCTCCAGGCACATAACGACGTCTCTTAGGCGGCGGTTCTGTCGCAGACGTAACAGTCAAGGCTTGTCTCGCTGCGCGCGCTGCGTTCGTCGATCCGAGCGGACGGCCTCGGGGACGTCCCGAAGGTGTCCTTCTCGGAGATGGCGAAGCCGGAGCCATGTATGGGGACGCGCTCCAAGGCTCCTGAGCACGAGTCAATGTATTCTCTCGATAACCGTGAGTCAATTCTGGCCTTTGTCCGTAGGTTTCCGTGCTACAAAGCAAATCCAGGGGGTTGTGTTGCGCGCGACCTGGTCAAGGGGCAGGGGCGGGGTAGGCGTTCATTTCAAAGCCCCCGTGCAGACGCGGCAGGGCAAAAGGTCGCATACGTCGGGGCAAGTAGTCGAAAGAGAGACCTCGTCGCGGCGCAGAGGATGGAAATCACAGAGGCATCAGCAGTTCGTCGTGACGTCGGGGTTCTCAATCTCCGGAGGAGCGAAAAACAGACAACGCGTGAAGTCGCAAACGCACGGGCCAGTTTGCCCCCCGACCTGCTTGCTCCAGGCCCTCAGCCCTCCAGCACCTTTCTGATGGCCCCATGGCTTCTTCCGGCTAGTAGTGCCTTCCTCAACTCCACCTTCACACGTGTTAGTCAGCAGCGCCGAGCTGCGCTTGGCTGTTTTCGGTCAAGACCCGCCAGCACAGCTGCATCCTGCATCTGGGGAAGAGGCGAGAAATTGTGGCTCTTGGGAATTCGGCATGGCATTGAAGTGCTATTTTTAAGAGACATGGTTCGGCGTGGTTTGCGAAGGATATTGTTCCTGGGCTGAAGATTTATGTGGTTCACTTTTGACGCCAATAAGCGCCTCACCTTGCCCGGCCTTCAACGCACATGTGCCACCCGTTCACTGTTGCTCACATAGACTCGGGAATACTAGTTCACATTCAACACATTTCAAATAAGCATGGTGCACATTGACACCTTACACAGTCTCTCAAACACCGGTGGTAGGGTTTCACAAATCAAGTTGCGTCATTCTCAGCGGTCCTATCAATACCAAGTCTAATTCACCAGTCCCGTCTTCAGCATCCTTCTTGTAGATGCGATTCTAAGGAACTCGGTCCATGCTGCAGCGTACCTTCGCCGTGGCATAGTCTCGATTAATCTCAGTTTGGGCTTGACCTGGTGTGGGCATTTAATTATGCAAAAAGGCGGTCGCAGAGGCGGTCATGTTGGTTCGTGCCCCATTCTCGGTCTCTTCCGCACCGCTAGTAAATAGGTCCATGTCTTCTTGTGGCTTGAAGCCCTGCAGGAATAGATCGCTGGATCCCGAATGGCTGGCCCAGGTCCTGGTCTCTTAAAACTTGACTCTAGCTTTCAGCTCATGAAAGGGGGCGTGCGGGACGACGATGCGAGCATACTTCACACACGGTACCAATAACTACGTGTACAAAGGAGTGAGAGACAACATGGATGCCAGCCCATGATTCGCTTTATTAGTCGACCACAATAGTCTGTCGCGTATCTGGAAATCAAAATACTAGTTGGATAGCAACACCTCGAGGCGGTTTCATCTAGCCTCAGACGTCCTGCACTCGAACCGAGGGAAGGAAAAAAAAAACAAAGACATTAACAACAGCAACCATTTGTCCACACGGTGCCGTGTCCAAAACCAAAATGCAGGCGTTCCACTCCAAAACCACGTCATACGGGACCATGCAGAGAATCAAAACACTAAACGATGCAGCCAACCCCCCCTGCAGTCCATTTTTGTCCTTGCATACAAAGATAGGCATCAATTCATGCAGCTTTCACAAGGCCATGCAATTTCATACAGCCTTTGACTAACGGTAGCAAATAAGACTGGCTGAGAGAAAGCCATCTTTAAAAACAAATCCAAACGCCACAATCGCTATGCTCCGTAAACCATTCCGTAAATCATAATATCAATCTTGAGGACCAAACAACGCAAAAGGGGCAACCCCAATGGGATATATAACAGTGTGTAGAGCAGCTAGCGCATTGGCACCTTGCTCACTAATCAATAAAACCAGAGTTGACCCAACTCCAGCCACTATACAAAAGTTGTTAAGAGGGTATATGTTTGGGGGTATCAATCGAAGGGGTATCAAAATAGTAGCCATATCGGAGTGGCATAATCTTTGAGATGAATACTATACAGCTCAGCCCATTGTGCGGCCGCTGTGGATTGGTTGAGCTGGAGACACATGGTGGGATGCATGCCCCGTCCGTAAAGTTGCAACAGATGGAACGCCAGACGACAGGAATGGATTGCTGGTCCCATCCCAGCTCTCTTCGCTCAAAACACTGAGATAGCCGCTACCGACTCTATCGCGAAGGGCTTCAATCCTCCGGCGATACATCTCACCACCTGCATCCCAGTCTTCAGATGCTCTTGGCTCATCTGTAGTACTATTCGAGTCGTACGAAGATGGTGTGGGGGGCAACGGTTTGTTGGTGCTGGCCGAAGCACCAGGAGCCCGAGCCACTGAAGAAGTAGAAGCAAGTAGCGTCTTCTTGCTGTCCGTCAATATGACGGGCGGAAGCAAGGCTTTTTCAGGCTGCCTGGTAATGCGGTAGTTCCCGCCCTCAAACTCGGTTACTGCCACGGAATCCTCCGTCAATGATTCCGTCGGCGTAGGCATTGACCCGCCGTCACCAGTTGCAAGATCAACTATGCGTCTCTTTGATACTTTCCGGCGCCGGTAAGAGTTGGTGTTGACTTCACTAGTGACTGCTTTGGCCACCGGGCGCTCTTTGCGCAGAACAGAAGCCTCCTTGGGCAAGTTGTAGACAATGGTAGGTTTGCTAACATCGACAACGGCAGGTGAGTCTGAGACTGCAGGCTTGACTACCGGTACCGACTCAGGAATAGGAGCACGCTCTATCAATAGACGCTTTTCGGAGTAGCTCGGTCCGTAACCGTCAATAATAATATCCTCTGTACAGCCTGGAGCAGATCGGAAGATGTTGAATATAGTTACTCGATAATCCTTGTGAGTTCTGGTGAAGGGGTTACCGTCAAGCCAAATTTCTCGAATGTCAGGGATGCCGGTCAGTCTTGCGAGCTCCAGTGGATCAGAAAGACGATTGTCTCGGAGGTCAAGCCGTTCCAGTGGGTACAACTTCTCAACTCCTGCTAAAGACTGCAGTCGATTCGCCCTAAGATTGAGGGCCGTGATGGCAGGGAGTGGATTGCGAGTAAGGGATTGGAGTGAGTCGATCATGCAGTGGGAAAGATTCAGCGCACGTAAAGCGGTGAGAGAGGCCAAGCTGTCAGGGATCTGGCTGAAAAGATTAGACGACAAGTCGAGAGAGTAAAGCGTATTTGAGAGAGGAGCCAAGCTAGAAGGGGGAATCGATGTCATGGCATTGTCAGCGAGGCTGAGGTGTCGAAGAAAGCGCCATTTAGACGCCGGTAAGATTCCCATAGCCAAGAGGTTGCTCGAACTGCCCCTTGCATGATGATGCCAAGATTCGGAGAGGCTCGAATGAGAACTGCCTGATCCGGAGCGTTTGATACGTTGCTGGGATGATCGTGCTTGAGTAGAATGGTTTCTTGAACTTGTAGGGCGAGAGGGAGAAATGCTTCGAGGTCGAGAAGCTTTACAAGGGCACCGAGGGACGTCATCAGTATCATCACGGGAGATCGAGGGCCTAGCGGTATCCGAGCTCTCACTGTCCTCCAAAACTGGCTCGCTCGGTGTCATTGATCCGCGGCGAAGCTCAGCGAGAAGAGTTCTGTGTTCAGGTGATCCTGGAGCAGATGCAGCTCTAATAAGCTCGGGAGGCATGGTGGGGCTTCGTCGAGGGCTATTAGTGCCGGCAGCCCACGTCGTGGTTGGCGATGATTGAGACTTGGAAGTACGACGACGCCTCTTATCCATATCATCCAATACTATGTCTATCAAAATGTCTGCTGGGTCCTCAATGCCGGCGTGCCTCAGGCTGAGAGACCGCAGTTGGTCTGCAAGACGGTCCCAACCAAAGAATTGACGAAAGTCAATGCTGTTAATTTCAAGAGCTTGCAAGTTCTTGAAGACGTAAATCGGCACGGCGGAGTCGAAAGGGAATTCCTCGAATCCGCTGATCAAACGCGCTCGCCAGTCCGGAGCCAGTCGCAAGCAGGGAATCTTGGTGAAGGCCGAGTACAGGTACTTGAGATCAGCCTGAAGGGCGGCTTTTTGGCGTTCGGTTCTGGCAGCAGATATACTGGCTCCAATACCCAGGCTATTCCACAGCGCAGACATGCCAGACATGACGCTTCGCATGCTAGAGACAGAGTGTATTGAGCCTACATCGGAACTGCGGCTACGGGCTCTCTGCGAGTTGCCGAGAAATGAAACATAGTTGGTGGAAGATGAACTATCGTGTAGGTTTTCCAACCGTACTTTCATAGGTCCAACATTGATCCCAAGTTCCTCGAAGCGGGATAGAAGGAAGAATAGGTGGTGGGGGGTGAGCGCCAGCTTCGCAGACTTGACATTATGTGAGGTAAAGTTCAGAGCTCCCAATGAAAACGCCGCTGCTAAAGAGCTTGTTGTGGAGGAGGATGTAGAGGGTCGGTCTGGCAAGGTCGGGGATGGAGGGATCGTTGCCGCGCTGGTGCTCTGGGACGATCGATGGCGAACCTCGCGACGCTGGAACTGCAAGGCATTGGCAAGGGCCTTTTCGTGGTTGCGCACAAAGGCAGCCAGTTGCTGGTATAACGGTTAGTGTTTAGTTTTTGGAATCCGCAACGACCGAGCCGTCAGCCACGCAGGCTCGGATAGTAGTAGACTTGCCTTTATGAAATAGTCTCCGTCTTCAGAATCCATGTCTATGGTCTATCTATGCATCGGACGATTGTGCAGCAAAACCTCTGTATTGACGAGAGAAAAGAGCGGCAGAGGGTCTTTACAGAAGGAGTGCAAGCAAAAAAAAAATCGTCACCGAGGTTATTTCTTCAGCAACTCCACGAGCCGTTCGAAGTTATCTCAATAGGATTTCTGGTCGGAGCCAACCTGGATGCCAAAGACAGGTTAGCGATGAGGAACAAACAACCAGCCGTCACAATGCAAAAAACAGAGAGATGATTCAGGAATACTCTTGAGAAACACTAGAGCACGTTCTCTGCGTGGATGTGGAGGGAAAAAAGCAAAAGACCTTGTCAGGGTCT